CATCCCCCTTCCTTCCTCAACATCCTCCCTCCTTTCTCAGCATCCCCCCTCCTTGCTCAGCATCCTCCCTCCTTTCTCAGCGTCCCCCCTCCTTCCTCAGTGTCGCCCTTCCTTCCTCGGCATCCTCCCTCCTTTCTCAGCGTCCCCCCTCCTTCCTCAGCATCCCCCCGCCTTCCACAGCATCCCCCCTCCTTTCTTGGTGTCCCCCTCCTTCCTCAGCATCGCCCCTCCTTCCTCAGCATCCCCCCTCCTTCCTCAGCATCCCCCTTCTTCCTCAATGCCTGGCTTTGAGCTGGGGCCATCCACACTTGGGGTCATAGTCCCTCCCCAAGGTCCACCCTTAAACCTCAGTGCGTTCCTATATGTCCCAATAAGAAGGCACTCCAGTTCCTCATCTTCCATATGGGGTGACAGTGGTGTCCTCCTCACAGGACAGTTGTGAGGATTCGAACGGCGAGGCATGCTTGGCCTTGGATAGGCGACTTAGTATTTCAGAGGTGTCAGTTCTTCCTAAAATGACCAGGACGACCACTGGGGAAGAGGCAGCATTGAGGACGGGCATCCTGGAGTCGGGGGAGGTGAAGGGGCTTTGCACATGACGTCTGCCTGAAGGAAACAAGACTCTTCAGAAGGGCGTTAAACCCATTGCTGTCGAGTTGATTCCGACTTATAGCGACCCTGTAGAACAGAGCAGAACTGCCCCATAAGGTTTCCAAGGAGCTTCTGTTGGATCCAAACTGCTAACCTTTTGGTTAGCAGTCAAGCTCTTAACCACTGCACCACCAGGGCTCCAGAAGGTCGTTAGGGAAGCTTAAATAACAGTGAGACAGCCCATGTTCTTGGACACCAAACACACTGCCATCGAGTCACCGTCAACTCATGGCAACCCCATGTGTGCAGAGTAGAACTGTGTTCCATAGGGTTTTCAGTGGCTGACTTTTCAGAAGTAGATCACCAGGCCTTTCTTCCCAGGTGCTTCTGGGTGGACTCAAACCTCCAACCTTTTAGTTAGCAGCCAAACGTGTTAACTGTTTGCATCACCCAGGGACTCCTGTTCTTGGACAGGGAAACTCGATCTTCTAAGGGGGTCAGTTCTTTCTAAACTAATAATCAAGTTCCCGGTGAGATTATTTTCCCCTTTACTAAGACAAAATGATGCAAAATGATCTAGAAGACCCAGTATACATGTACGGCCAAGAAGGCTTTGAAAGAGTGATAAGAAAGAACTAACCACACTAGATGTTAAAATACGTGGAAAAGCGTCAGCAATGAAAACAGCACGGTTCTAGGGCCTCACATTAGAGCTGGGCTTACCGGACTGACCGTGCTCCTGGGAAACGCAGCAGAAAGTCTAGAATGCACTGGAACGGACTAGAACATGTGGCCATTTACATATACACTTAAATTAATTACAGTTAAATAAAATTTAAAATTCACTTCCTCTGTCTCACCAGCCGCATTTCAGGTGCTCCATAGCCCTCTGTGGTACCGTATGGCACAGAGCAGACGTGGAACATTTCCATCGTCACTGAAAGGTCCATTGAACAGCAGTGGCCTAGAAACAGACCCAGGTGTATACGAGACTCAGCATACGATACAGGTGGCACTTCGGACCTCAGGAGAGAGGCTGGGGAAGGGGTGTTGGTTAGTTGCTATACGTTTGGAAAAAACTAAGGAGAGCTCTACTTTACCTTTAATAAAATAAAGTTTAGATAGGTTAGAGATCTACGTGTTAAAAAAAAAAATGAAGCTGTAAGCTGAAGTTTAGGGCTTGTGATATACAGTCTAATACCCCTTTCTGTACTTTTGAACTGAAAGTGGCTGATAAAATAGTTTGCGATATTGTCCCTCCCAATTTTGGATCAAAGCCGAGAAGGTGGTAAACTTTGGAAGATAGGGTATGTTCTCTTGTGAAATAATTCAGTCAGTTCCTCTTGATATCAGTAGGAAGATAGACATGAAGTGTTTATAGAAACAACGTATATCCCAAATGTATATTTGAATCTGTGAATGTGCATTTCTATCAGAAATGCCTTCATTAAAAAAAATGAAGCTGTAAGAGAGTAAGTGGGATTTTTATAATGAGTGTTAATGAATGAATGAGGACAGTTAGCCTAATTAAGACACAAAAGGAGAACCCGTAGAGAAAAAGACTGATAAATTCAACCAATTAAAAATTAAAAGTTTTTTTTTTGGAAAAAACCAAAGCACTATAAATAAGATGGAAAGATAAGTAACTGGGAAAAATATATAATGCATATTACCAATAAAAATTAATATCCTTAATGTAAAGAGTTTTTCCAAATTAATAAAAGACATGAGTACGTTAGTGAGCACGGAAGTTTTCAACATTTTAATAATTAAAAATGCAAATTAAAACGTAAGTGAGATATACTGCCCATCAGTCTGATTGGCAAAGATTGAATGAATCATGCCCAGCGTTGGCAAAGATGTAGGAAGCTGGACACAACCAGATGTGCTGCTGGGGGCAGAGTTAGCGTAACCTTTCTGTGGAATAACTTGGCCTCATGCATCGAATGCCTTAACAGTGCGGGTCTTTCTGACCCTGAAACCTCACTTCCTCAAATTTATCCCAAGGAATTGGTAGGGCAGTGAAGATGTCCAAAGAGGCGGTGTTTGTAAAGGAGGAAGTTTGGAACCATCTAAACATCCTTCCCCTGGGACCTGGTTACAGGCTGGTCGTTGGCCCAGAGGAGCTGGGCCACTGGTCACAAGGGTGTTGGAGCTTTGAGGCTGCTGACCCTTGATGGGGCTGGGGGTGACCTTACCCAAGAACAGCAGGTAGCAAGGTGACCCATGGCCTGATCTCATTTTATTAAAAAGAAAGTAAATAATATATAGTTAATAGAAAAAAATGCATAAAAGATACGCACGAAAATCGGGGCAGTCATTATCTCTGAGGGTTTTGGGTGATTTTTCTTTTCTTCCATGTTTTCTGCATCTTTTACCTTGAGCTTGTCTGGTCACCCTGTCAGGCAGAGGGGGGGCCCTCAGCGTCCCCATGGGAACCAGGCAATGTGATCTACCCCCTGCCTTGGGCACACAGAGCCTGTGCCTCCTCCTCCTGCTGTGTCATGCAGAAGGGCTCTGACCTGGGCCTCCCGGGGTTACTGTGAGGACGAGGAGACAGCGTGGGCAGTTTTAGTCCCTCCTGTGGCCAGGGCAGCGGCCAGCACACAGCAGGTGCTCAGGAAATACCAATCGCTGTGGCTTTCAAAGCTCCCTGTTGTTTTCCTGCCCACAGCGACCCATTGGGATTGCGGCCACCTGGTTAGCCCTCTTGCTGAGCGTACCAGGCACCTCTGGTCATGTGTGGGTGAGCCCTGCTCCCACGCTGCGGAGGGGAGAGGACGCATCTCCCGCTCTGCTCCCGGGGGAGGGTCCACCCGCCTTTCACCCAGCCCTGGGAGCTCAGTGGCACTTGTTAGCGTGTGACCCTTTCTGGTTGACAGAGCTCTTTGGCCCCCAGTTTCCTAACGGTCCCATGAAATCAGACATGCCGCACGTTGGCCTGAGTGACCTGCAGACACAGGAGCAGCAGCCTGGGGTCAGACATGGAAATGGGTGGCCGGGTCATGGAGGAGATGACACCAGGCTGAACTCTAGGACCCTGAGGGGCGGCCAGGTGAGGAAGGTGCCAGAAGGCTATAGGCCAAGCAGAGGCATCTGGCTGGGCAAGGCTGTGGGGATGGCAGGGGGCAGAGGTAATTCACGGAGAGGTGTCTCTGTTTCCTAATTGTGGAAGTACAACCCGAGACACAAAAACGTAAAATGACTTGCCCAAGGTCCCAGAAGAGCCCGGTGGCAGACCCTCATCCTATTAACCAAACCATTCATCATCTTAAGTTTTATAACCACCCTCTAGGAATAACCAGGAGTCCCTGGTGGCACAGATGGTTAAGCACTCGGCTACTAGCCAAAAGGTTGGCGGTTCGAACCCACCCAGAGGCGCCTCCGAAGACAGGCCTGGCGATCTGCTTCCAAAAGGTCACGGCCTTGAAAACCCTACGGAGCAGTTCTCCTCTCCACACACGGGGTTGCCGTGTGTCGAAATTGACTTGATGGCACCCAGCAACAACAGGAGTGACCGCGGTCAACGTTGGGGCGTGCTTCCAGTCTTTTTCTCTGCATTCTGTAGTTGAGCTCACCTGTGTTCAGTTTTTCTCTTTGCTTTTTCCAGTCTGCATCATATTGTGCAGATTTCCCCGTAACATTAACAAGAGTTTGCAAACTTAATTTGTAACAACTGCACGGTCGCTGGACATACCACCTCTTAGCCTCCATGTGGGACATGAAGGGGCTCTTTTCCCCCTTTTGGGGCCATTATAGACAATGTCGCAGTGAACGCCTTCTACTGGAGCTTCATCAGCTCCTTAGGCGAGAGGAAAATGGCGCGTGCGTGTTTTCAGGACCCTGGGTGAGCTTCGCCAGACTGCTTTCCTGGCAGCTCTGCCCAGTGTGTGGCCCCATTGGATGTGTCTCCGTTGAGCATCTCCAGGGCTGGCCCTGCCTCCCACGCCCCTGACCCCTTGGCCTTGTCCTCCTACAGACCGAGAAGGACATCCTGCTACGGTCTGAGCTGGAGGAACTGAGGAACGAACACTCCACTCGCTTCAAGCTCTGGTTCACAGTGGACCGAGCCCCAGAAGGTGAGTGAGGGGAACCCCAGGTGGGGAGAGGAGGGGTCGGGTGGGAGGCACTGGCATCAGCTCACCTGTGCTGAGCCCTTCCCGGTGTTGAGCCTTCTGCTTCCATGGTCTCATTCGGGGCCCACCACGCTGTCTCCTGCTGCTGGGTCTCTGCCACCATTTCTCAAGCTCTCTCTTTCTCTCTCTGTCTCCTGGTTCCAGGAGCTTCTCAACGTAGGGATCCTGGTTCCAAAGGACATGCTGGCTCCTGGTTGTTCTTCCTTGATGGTGGTGGGATCTCTCTCCCACCCCTGGGATGGCTCATTTCAAACCCAGTGGAATGGCACAACTGACCAATCCCTTTGGTGGGCCACAATTCCCGTCACATGGTCCCGCCCAACCACTTGGGTGGGAGTTACAAGACCGCACAAAAGTGATCCATCACACCGCAGCTGGGCAGATGTGACTAACATCCTCATTCTGCCCGTCCAGTGGGTTGAGCTCTTTGCTGAGGTCACATGGTGAGTTTGTGGCAGGGCTTCGAACCAGTTCTTCCCGGGTCAGCCACGGCCAAGGAAGTGACACTGGAACAGACCTGAATTTTTAGAAGTTGGGTGAACCAGAACAGTAACTGGAATGGGAAAAATTATGGGTTGAAGCCCTGCTAGAAACTTAATCTGTCTCTTAAAAAACAAGGGCAGGCAGGAGAAAAATTGTAGAACCAAAAATCAAATTCACAAAAGAGACCAGACTTTACTGGTCTGACAGAGACTGAAGGAACCTCCAAGACTATGGCCTTACGACACCAGAAAAGAAGAAAACAAAGGCAGCATATGTGTTGCATAGCAACCAAGTCTCTTGCCCGTAGGATTTTGCACATTACCCTGCTCTAAGATGGTAGTGGCTGACCATGCAGCTTTGAATATGTGTCACTCTCTGCAGTCCTGCTAATAATCCCATCCCACACATCAGGCTCCTGAAAGGGTTCACTACGTTTCTTCTGGGTCTCCCATTCCAGGGCTTCAACCTGTAAATTCTTCCTGTTCTACTTACCGTTCCAGATCACTTGAATTGTAAAAAATTGGGTCTGTTCCAGTTTTGCTTCATTGGCCGTGGCTGAACCGATTTGAACCGGTTCAAAGCCCTGGTTTGTGGAGAAGCCAAGACCACGCATGGGTCAGCAAACTTAAAACGAGGGTGTCCTCTGAGAGTTAAACCATCCTTCATTCTCCTCTGCTTTAGGTAGAGATGTGGGTACAAGGAATATCTTAATTTCTTCTTTGCTGTAAGTCAAGCAGCAGTTCAGGCTTCCTGCTGGGTGACGCAAGTGATGTTTGGCTTTGGGTCAGGAGACTCCTGTAGGGAGTGGTGGGGAATGTGGTGGATTGGGGAGCGTCTGCCCTGGTGCGAGGGGGCAGCCCCTCTCAGCTGCAGGTAGTCCTGTTGTGCAGGATTTTTCAAGAAAAGCTGGGAGCCTGGATTTTCATGGGAAAATTTTAAATGTTGGAAACTGGAAATTTCAAAGCACCCTGTGGCCCCATGGGCACCAGCCTGTGATCTGCTGGTCACGCCCTGCTACGCCTGCCCTCACCCCACCAGCAGTTCCCCCAGAACCCATTTGCAGTGGGGTACACACCATTGCTCCCCTGCGGGCTCTGTCCACACCACACTCTACTGTCCCAGGAAAATGAGTTTGTGGGCTCTAGGGGCTGACTCCTATCTTGGGAGCTGGGTGATCTGGGCCTGTCCCTGAGAGAGGAGCTGCCCTCTGCACTGACCAGATCAGGGTCTGGGCCTCCGTGGACTGGACAGCTGCGTCCCCTGGCCTCTGGCCAGACTGGCCGTGCTGGACCAGCCATCCGACCTCACAGGCCCCCTGCTCTGATCCCCTGCTTTGTGTGCTCATGAAGCCAACCCGGCCACGGGGAGCAGACGTTCTAGTCAAGGCAGCGAGCAGACAGGAAGCAGCTTAGTAAATCAGAGAGCGTGGGAGCAGGTGGTTAGAGCTGCGTATGGGATACGGAGCTGGGGTTGCGGCAGGAGGGGGCCCCGGCTCATGGTCGGAGCTGCTGTTTTTCTTCTAGTAAAGAAAGGAACCCTGATCTTGTAGCCACGTCTGGATCAGAAAGGGAAATGAGATATGGTTAAGTCCGCTCTGATTGCACTTTTTAGGAGTGTGGTTGGGTGTGACCTTGAACCATGATGAGAATGTCCTGTCGGGGGCCTGAGGGCCTCTTCCCTCGCAGGTTGCCAGTGCAAGGCCCTGGCCAAGCAGGAGGGGGACCGACACTGACCCCTGGTGGTGGCACGGGCACCGAAGTGCCGTCTTCTGCAGACAGTTTTCCTGGTAGTGACAGGCCAGTGAGAGGTGGACAGGTCTGCTGGCATTTTGTGCTTCCATTCATTGCTTCCCTGGCCTACCAGTCAAGAGTAGTCAAGGTATCGCTATAGCTTTAGGGACAAGCGGAAATTCTAGGCCCGAGAAAGGAAATGGTAACAGACCAGCAAAGGAACGGGGGTGGGGGTGGGGGTGGGGAGGAATGCGTGGCAAAGGCAGCCAACCCACATCTCCCCACAAAGCTACTTTAGTACGTGTGTAAAAACAAATACAATCTCTAACAGACATTCCTTGTAAAATTGAGGTGTCTCATGTGCCCGCCCATTTCATTCATTAGCAAATGCGATCCAGTCCCGTACAGATTTTTACAAAGTACATTCAGTTCTGTTAATCCACTTGAAAAGGCCTGTGCCCTGCCTTGTTCCTTCCAGAAGGGATTTCGGGCGGCTTACGAAGACTCGTCCGGTGAGTCAGAGTAGTGTAATTGGAAAGTGAGAGTGGAAGAAAAACAAGGGCAGGGCCGTCAAGTGGAACCAGGAATGCTTTTTGTACAAAAACATGGACTGTGATGCACACTTGCCAGTAGGGGCCATGCATATTTCTTTGAGCTTCCCAACAGCCAAGGTGAGAAGGGAGATACGGCATTACTTAGCTCACAGTGTCTGTGAAATAAAGAGTTTGCTCAGCACAGCAAACTCATCCTGGTCCTGAGGTCACCTGGAAGCGTCTCAGCCTGCCCCATCCCTGGGGCCTATCACACCCCGGTGGACAAGGTGCGATAAAGTGAGTATTGCCCATCTAGGCAAGGGCTTTGGTGTCAGCCAGCTCCCTCCTCGCCGTGGGCTTCTGTAGTGTCAGGGGCTTTTAGGGTTGGAAAGAACGGACAAGCCAGAGAGTCCTGGTGCTCAGAGTGGGAGGGACTCGAGGGGGCAGGAACCCAGAGGGCTTGGGTATCTTTCACAGGAACCCTCAGGCAGGCAGGCGTCAGTAACCCACGGCCTCCGTTTTTGCTCCTCCCACCTCTTCCAGCTACTCCCTGCACTCCCGCGTTGCCCTGCTCCTGCCTCTGGACCCCTGCCTTCTGCCTCTCTCTGACCTCCCTTGTTGTACCGCTAGGGCGAAGCGAGAGGATCTGGCGGGTCAGTCATCCTGACCATTGGGGAGAGCTCAAAGGCCGACAGGGTCAGGCCCCCAGTGTGGGCAGGAGGAGGCAGTGGCGTGGCTCCTCAGAGGGGAGGGACTGTGTGTATGGCAGGCGGTGGGCGTTTGGCATGTCTGTCATCCGTCCGGGCTAAGCCATCCATCCGGGCTGAGCTGCTTGGTGCAAGGTGACCTGAGAAGCACATGGCCACGTGGCCTGGCATGTGTTTTAGTCCCTGGGTATTGCTTCTCCCAGCTGAACACTGAAGGGCCACAAAGGACGATTTCCCCTGGCAAGCCTTCTCAGAAATTACTTGAATCCTCTGGGCTGAGATGAAAGTCCCCCCGCTCCCCGTTCCGTGGCCTGAGTCTTTAGGTGTGATGACTTATAAGGCCTGTGGAAGCTGAGTGCCCAGGCTGGGCACTGGCGAGGCCCCTGGGACTGAGTTCACATCCCAGCCCTGTCATGTGACTCTGGACAACTCAGTTCTGGCCCTCTCCGGGCCTCCGTTTCCTCCTCTGAAATGGGGTCAATAGCCCCTGCCCTGCCCGCCCACAGGCTGGTTCTGACGCCTCCTGAGAGGCCAAATGGAAGCAGAAGGCTTTGCAGACCACAGAGGCCACAGAGCCTGAAGCCGCAGGCTTGATGGGTGAGCGGGCTGGGGGCAGGGGGTGGTGGACAGGTGGGCACACGGCCACATGGGCTCCCCTGGTCTCTCGCCCACAGCATGGGACTATAGCCAGGGCTTCGTGAACGAGGAGATGATCCGCGACCACCTTCCGCCGCCGGAGGAGGAGCCGCTGGTGCTGATGTGTGGCCCCCCGCCCATGATCCAGTATGCCTGCCTACCCAACCTGGACTGCGTGGGCCACCCCAAGGAGCGCTGCTTTGCCTTCTGATTGGGGGGGGGTGTGCCCACCGCCTGCCCACGCACTCACCACGCACCTGTCCTCGCCCACCCCTCCGCGCCATTGTTCTTTAACGTCCCCCCGCCCCAGATCTGTCCACATCTACACTGGGGCCTGGGTTCAGTCTGGCCTGCCCGTGCTCTGGGTGGCCACCTGCTGGGCTGGCCCCCGGGGTGCCCCATTGGGAGCAGGGTCCTGGTTTGGGTGGGTGCCTTTCCAGCCCTTACACACACGCGCACACGTGCACACGTGCACACGTGCACACACGCACACGCACACACTACAGGGCCGAGGCTGCCAGCACCAGTCTCCTGCACATCCAGCACTGGACCAGAGTCTGGAAAGAAAGGTAGATGGACGGGCAGCCTAGGACTGCAGGGGTCAGAGGCCGCCTCAGCCGCATCCTGGTGACCCTTGTCTGCCACCCCTTACTGCCAGCCTCAGGGCCCCGGGGAGCCGGGCCTGTGCCGGACCACGGCTAGGCCTGGGACCCGATGCTGCATGAGAGAGGTGACGCCAGAAAGCCCTGGTGGGGGGTGGGGGCCGCGGGGGCTGAGAGGGGGCCTCTGCCTCCCAGCCAGGGCCCAGGTAGGCCCTGACCAGCTGGGAGCTCAGCTATCCTCGGAGCTGCAGAGGGTGCTGGCCAAGGGCCCCCCAGGCTGGCAGGATCCCCAGCACACCTACATTTGGCTGCCTTGGGGGTTCTGAGCTCTCAGCTCGATTGCTTTAGGTGCCTGGCTTCCCAGCCAGGGCCGCCAGCCCGATGGTGGGGCTAAGACGTTTATTTATTCCTCTGTCCCAAACTCTCCTCCTCCTCCTGCCCTCGCCCTGGCTTAGGGGAGACTTTGAGCAGTGCCTCTTGTCCGAGAGACGTACAAATACTCGGTGGCCGCCACGTTGCCTTCAGACAACAGCTGTGTTAGCCTCTTGCATATCGGCTTTTCAGAGTCATTTATGAGCAGAAAAAAATCGAAGTAAAATTTAGCTAATGTTAACCTGCAGCTGTGTGTGGTCTGCATTGGGGTGGGAGGGGTGTGGAAGAGGCTGCACAGGGCTCAGCATCCAAAAAACAAACCCGCCATCCAGAGGCAATGCTCTGCCGTTCCACTGAAAACGCGGTCTACCGTGTGGCTGCCGATCTTCCCCGCATCGCTGACCAGAAGCCCGGGTGGATCACGACGGATTATTTAGCAAATCCCCTGTCGTTGGCCATTTAGGCTGTTTCCAGTTGCGGGTTTTATAAAGAGTGTGGAGACAGCCCCTCCATCTTTACCCTCCTCTCAGATGATTCTTATAGGATGGGTTCCTGGAACATGAGGATTGGGGCTAGGGTATGGGCCTGGGAGTTGGGCTTTCACACCTTCCCTTCTTGCCCTGTGTCTTAGTTATCTAACGTTGCTATAACCGAAATACTGCAAGTGGGTGGCTTTAACAAAGAGAAATTTATTCTTTCACAGTCTAGAAGGCTGAAGTCTGAATTCAGAGTGCCACCTCCAGGGGAAGGCTTTCTCTTTCTATTGGCCCTGGGCTCCTTGTCATCAATCTTCCCCTGGTCAAGGAGCTTCTCAGCGCAGGGACCCCGGGTCCAAAGGACACGTTATGCTCCCAGTGCTTCTTTCTTGGTAGTATGAGGTCCCCATGTCCCTCTGCTCACTTCCGTTTGATATCTCAAAAGAGAATGACTTAAAACACAACCTAATCTTGTAGATTGAGTTCCGCCTCGTTAACATAACTGCCACTAATCTCACCTCGTTAACATCATAGAGGCAGGATTTACAACACACAGGAAAATCACACCAGATGACAAAATCACACAATACTGGGAATCATGGCCAGCCACACTGACACACATTTTTGGGTGACACAGTTCAGTCCATAACACCCTGCCTTATTCAGATCATCTCAGCTGTGTTAAAAGAAGACCCCAGATCCATCTTTCGACAGCTCCGTGTGCCCCCCGTGTTTTTTCTCTTGGCTTTCTCTGGGCAGCCCTGGGAGAGGAAGGACAAGCCATTAGCCTCATTTTCCACTGGGCAGACTGAGGCTCCGGGCAGTGAATGGCTTTCCAGTCTTGGATGGGCCTGAGGTAGGCAAGGAGCCCTGGTGGCACAGTGGTTAAGCGTTCAGCTGCTAACCAAAAGGTCAGCAGTTGGAATCCCAGCACTCCTTGGAAACCCTGTGGGGCAGTTCGGCTCTGTCCTATAGGGTCGCTATGAGTCGGGATCAACTTGACGGCAGCAGGTACAGGAGGTAGGCAGGTGTCACTCTGCCCTGTGGAAGGCTCCAAGGGGGGAAGCAAGTTGACTCGTTCCCTCGTTCATTCTCATACGTACTGTTCCAAGAGCTGGGGACTTGGCCGGGGACTCTCCAGACACAGCCTCCTGGCTCCGTGGCACTGGCGTTCTAGTGGGAAAGACGCTAGATCAGTAACATGATGTCATTCATGTGGTGGTAAATGCCAAGGTGGAAATGACAGACGAGTGATGAGACAGTGCAGGAGTGAGGGCTGCTCTTAAAATTGGGCAGCAGGAGAGCCCTCTCTGCAGAGATCACAGAGGGAAGGCACTGGCCCCGCTGGGGTAAAGCAGTGGGAACAGCCAGTGCAAAGGCCCTGAGGTTGGAACAAGCTTGTAGAACAAACTGTTCCAGAAACATCAAAGAAGGCTGGTGGTTGGGGGAGACAGTGGCGATGAGGCTGGAGAGGGAGACTGGCACTTCAGCAAGTGCAAAGGCCCTGGGGCAGGGACTCACTGGCTGGCCCAAGGAACATGGTGAAGGCCAGTGTGGCTGGAGAGGATGGAGGAGGTTCACAGGAAGGAAAGCCTGAGGCCAAGCCTCAGGGGTGGGGAGCCCCTCATTGCTCTCACCCTTCACACTCATCTCAGCCTCCACTGCATAAGGGGGCAAGGCTGGGGATCCTCAGTGGGTGGAGAAAGGACTCAGTTTGGGAGCCCCAGACCCTCAGGGGCCCTTCCCCACACCTACTGTGTGCTGGGGACTGTGCTGAGCCCTTGGCACACGTTAGGCCTGTTCCTCATTCCTGTCCCCATCTGAGGAGAAGGCAGAGGCCTGAGGGTCAGGATTTGAACGCAGACTTGCCTGAGTCCACATGCAGCTGTCTCCTGGAGCTGGGAAGACAGAGATGGATCGGACCTGGTCCCAACTCTCTCCCCTGGCCTCAGGTTTTCCACCCGTGAAGCGAGGGGATGAACTAGCTCAGTGCTTCGCCACCCTTTCAGACTGCCATCCTTTTAAAACAATTACTCATAGCATTCCCTTTACTCTGCTGCAGCAAGTTCACAGGTAATATCACCTGCCTAGACACTGAATGTTTTCACAGGCCAGTGAGAGGGCATTTTGCTACGTAAAGCCCCAACTGTAACAGAAAACAGCAAGAGAGGAATTTGTAATAAAGTGATACATTTTTCAACATGTAAATACGGGGCCCAAATCCCCCCAGGGGTGGGGAGGCCAGGGCCAGGGATCAGGGACATGGTTTTCCGAGATGGTAAATTTCCTCACAAAGTTGGACCGAATTCCCTCGGCTTAAAGCGCAGCTGCATTCCTGGAAATTCAATGTATGTTCACACCAGGCAGGAAGGAATGGAGTGAGACCCAGGTCAGATAGCCACAAACAGGCCTCTCCCCTCCGGGAATGTGCAGGTCGCTGGAAGGGCTGGCTAGGCCCTACCTCCATATGCCTGTGACCCCTAACTGTGGGACAACTAAATCCACCCCCACAAATCTCCAAACCACAGCCTGTGGGGGGAGAGGACAGCCCTGTAACAAGCCCAGAGCTAGATGACCTCAAGAAGCTTATGACCCTATTGTGCTAGCATTAAAGACTTCCGTGACTTTTTAAATGTTTAACTTTGTGTGTGTGTGTTTGGTGTTAAATTTTCCGGTCCTCTGTCCCCTTCCTGGTTTCTCTGAATCTGCTCCCCCAAGTCCAGCTGGCCCCAGGGCTGAGGCAGGACCTGAGGGTTCTTCTCAAGAGGTGCAAACCCTCACTCAGCACCACCCTCCTGCAAAGACCTTCTGCACATTCCTCTTAGCCGCCCTGGATGAGAGGTCCGCGTTTACAGGTGAAGCAACGAGGTCCAGAGCCACCTTGCACGGGGTGGGACCTGGATTCGCTGCTTCTGTCTGGGACCCAGTCCCAGACCCTTCTAGCTTTACCAGCTCTTGCCCCATTCTTCCACCGAGCTTCTGATGCCAGATTTTTAACTGTGATGTTCTGTGAAGACCACATAACTCTACTGCATCGTTGGACTTACTAATAAACAGCATTTTTAATTATTAATTCAACAAATCTTTATTGAGTGCCTTCCTCCTGGTAGGCTCTGTGCTGGGCGCTGGGGCTGCATCAATGAAAAAGCCATTCCATGTATGGATCCCATTAATGAATTAACCCATTTAACCCTCCCAACACCTATCAGGCAGGTACTGTTATTCCCTCATTTTACAGATCAGGCAGAGGCACAGCGGGGAAGCGATGTGGTTGTGTAAACCACGATGCTAAGTGTGGGCTGTGGGAAGTGAGCCAGGCAGACTTTCAGCTCTCACCCTCTGGAGCACTAGGGTATAAAGCCACAAAGTGAGCACTTCTTCACGGATTGAGTGCCTACTGTGTACAGCACATACACAGTAGGTGCGCTGTAAGTACGGATTATTTTGTCAATTACAAAACGGGTGGTTGCTATTTTACTTGGTTGACAGTTGGAGGAACAGTTTCAGCGAGCTGGTTTAAGATCGCATAACTTTCAGGATGAACCATATGAAGATCAAAAAAGTATTGGGTTACATAGGTCACAAATACCCACTACAGTATTGGCCACAATTGTATACATTATATACCGTAATAACGGACTTTCATGGTTAGAGACCGATAAAAAACAAGTTCAAGGGTGGTCTTCGAACTTTAAAAAACACCAGATTTAGACTGCGCGACGAGAACAGTGAATGAATCCCCAAAACGTATCCTACTGCTCTGAAAAGAAAAACACAAAAAACGATATGGGTTTGTTGACGTTTTCCCAGTCTGTCTAATTTTTAAGTAGAACGGGGGTCGGGCAGATCGCAACTCCCAGGCATCCCGCAAAGTAGGCGGGTCACCTTAGGGGCAACCTTTACCCGCTCAAAAATTCTTCTCACATTAGCAGTGAGGATCCGGGCGTCACCCCGGATCGTTATTTTCCTTACTCATAAGTTTAAGGCATAAAAAAGAGTAATCACTTACTTCCTAGGTAACAAGTCGCATTCCTATTAACCCTACGGTGAATGTAAAACTTGCTCGTTGACCTGAGATCCCTGTTCTTTTGACGTTTGCCTTATTCATTATTAAATTTTTATGTCGCTTTTATTTTCTTTCTTTGTCCGGGGAAACTAGAGTACTGTGATACCCCAAACCGCCATATGCAAATAAGCAGGCAGCACCGCGAGGGCTCACGGGAACGGCCCCACCCCTTCCGGCCCCGTGCCTGGTTTCAGCTGTCGCGAGAGTTCGCGGGCAGAACGCCGGAAGCTGCTAGTCGTTCCGTCGCGAGTGAAGGGGCGGGCTTGAGGGCTGAGAGAGTAGGAGCTGCTTCTCGGCTCTCTCGGCGGTGCAAGATGGCGGACATATCCCTGGACGAACTCATCCGGAAGCGCGGGGTGGCGGCAAAGGGGCGGTGAGCGGCCTTTTCTCTTTTCGGGGTCAGGGTCCGCAGGGTAGTGGGGCTCGGCGCTGAGGAGGGAACGGCCCGGGCGCAACGCTGAGGGCTGCCTGTGCCCGCCCCCTGCCGCTGCCCCGCTCCTCATTGGCTCGGCCGCCGCGGGCCCGGCCGCCCACTAGCTGGGGGAGCCGTCGTTTGGGCCGGGCCGGGGAGGTCTTCGGGCTGTTGCTGCCTGGGGGAGCGGGGTGCCGGCGTTTGTGGGGACCGCCAGAGGGGGCGGCCTGAGTCCGGGGCGCTTTGCGAGTGGCGGGGATGTAGCTGCAGGGAAGGGGCCGCCCCGGGACCCCAGCCCCGCGGTCCCGGGTCCCTGCCCTGAGGAGCCTGGCGTCGGGGCGCCGCGCCTCCGCTGCCTCAATCTCCTCGCTGTTAGTCCATCCCGGAGTTAAGACCACTAAAGTTTAGCGAGGAGTTGACCTGCTCAGACTGCTCCTCAGGTTCTGCGAAGCCCGCGACTCGGACCCGGGGCTTGACCCCGCGCGTCCGCCTACCCAGGCCCCCCTGTCAGCATGCATCCCCCTGCCCCCCGTTTGGCGTTTTCTGAACACCTTCACGGACGCACGTCTCGTTGGCTCTTGTCTTGCGGCTTCGAATTACCGTTCTCCCGTTTTACGGACGGGAGCGGGGGCCTCGGGGCCTCGGGCCTGGGCGGAGGGACAGGTGGGACGGACCTGGTTGGGGGGACTCGGGGACCGCGGCTCGGGAGCTGAGTGAGGAACACCGAGGTGGTTTGCAATGGTGCACCCCAAACTTCAGACTCTTGCAATTCTTTGTTATTTCTGGCCGAATTGAGCTGAGTTCACCTATATGGAGAAGTGGGAATTTGCCGATAGTTTCCCAATATACTAAATTTTAAGTTGAAATGTCTTTGTAAACAGCTCTGCTGTAAAGATGCCAAACCCAAACGAACCCGTTGTTGTCGAGTTGATTCCGACTCATAGCAATCCTAGAGGACAGAATACAACTGCCCCGTAGGGTTTCCAAGACTGTAATCTGTATGGAAGCAAACCACCACATCGTTCTCCTGGAGAGCGGCTGGTGGGTTCGAACCGCCGACCTTTGGGTTAGCAGCCGAGTGCTTTAACCACTGCACCACCAGGGCTGTTTGTAAAGATGTTAGATATTATTTTCTCAGACGTTCACTCACTTCACAGATGTTTATTAATATCTCCAGTGTGTCTGGTTATAAAATAGATTCTTTCTCTTGCTATCTGAAATGTATGTTTACACACACACCCACTACACCTTCCGCCACCACCTGGCGTCTGGTTCTTAACAGGTGCCGTACCTCAACTATTATCAGTGAGGATTTTCTCCTAGGTCTTCTCTCTGTAAGTGATGTGGAATTGGTGCTGTGTCCTCTGGCCACTTCTGAATCTGTCCAGGTCTTATAGGCTAGTTCAGCAGTTGCTGAATGACCCAGCTTTCCAGGACATGTTCTGTTTGGTGTAAGTGTCTGCAAAGTCTTGTTTGGATAGTGGGTGGGACTGCAGGGAAGGAGGCATGTGGGATTCATGGGGAGAGCAGAGGCTGTGGATCCTTGCAGGCCAGGTCCCCAGGCAGGCCCACAGTTAGGTTTGGTGCCTCCCTGGCCAGGTGACTTCTGACCTGGGTAGTTTCTTCGTTCATAATGATGGTTCATAGTAGGTCGTTGAGAGGATTAAATGTAAGACTGTGTTTTTTAAAGTTTGTATTCTGTAGTGTCCACCTGTGTACTAAGTGTTCGGCAAATGATGGCAGTTATCATGAGCTGTGGACCTTTCCCTAAAGGAGTAGAAGCACTTCCTCCCTCCGCCAGGGGTGTAATAGATAGGCTTTGGGCCCTAGAGCCAGACTGCCAAGGTTTAGTTCCCTGCTTCTCCTCACCTTCCATGTGATCTTATGCAAGCTTCTTATCCTTTTTGTGTCTCTCCTTTATAATATGTGGGTAATACCTACTTCATTAGATTATAGTTAGGATTAAGTGAATATATCTAAAGCGTTTAGGAAAGTGCCTCACAGATGCTAAGTGCTCAATAGATGTTAGCTTTCATCATTATCATCATCACTGAAGGCTTTTAAGTGAAGAAGTAATGTGATCCATTTTTAGTGTGAGGATATTGTTTTGCTTCTTTGTGAAGATTGGATGGGGGAGGGGAGAGTGCAAGCAGAAAGCTAGAGTAGAAGAAACTGGACTGCATGCTGTTTAGGTTTAAATCTGCTGGGAATTCTATTTTATATTTCACTTGCATGGCCAACAAAGAAAAACTGTGTCTGAGGATCCCTGTTGAGAACTGTGAAGGGTCTGGAATTTTACCCTATTAGTAAGCTAGCCAGTTAGTCTGTTGCAGTTTCATGGATGCTGGTAGAAGACAGTGTCACAGATTGAATTGTGTCCCCCAAAAATACGTGTCAACTTGGTTAGGCCATGATTCCCAGTATTGTGTGGTTGCTCTCCATTTTGTGATTGATGTAATTTTCTTTTGTGTTGGAAACTAATCTCTGCCTGTGGTTAATGAGGCAAGATCGGGTTATGTTAAAGAGGATTAGGATGGGATGTCACACCCTTACTCAAGTCACATCCCTGATCCAGTGTAAAGGGAGTTTACCTGGGGTGTGGCCTGTATCACCTTTTATTTTACAAGAGATAAAAAGAAAGAGAAGTGAGCAGAGAGTGGGGGACCTCATACCATGAGAAAGTAGTGCCAGAAGAAGAGCACATCCTTTGGTCCAGGGTCCCTGTGCTGAGAAGCTCCTAGTCCAGTGGAAGATTGATGATAAGGACCTTCCTCCAGAGCTGACAGAGAGAGAAAGCTTTCCCCTGGGGCTGATGTCCTGAATTTGGACTTCTAGCCTACTAGATTGTGAGAGAATAAACTTCTGTTTGTTGAAGCCCTCCACTTGTGCTGCTACAACAGAAATACCACTAGACGATTAAGACAGACGGGATTCCTGGGGTTGAGACTGAACAGTTTATTACTCACTTTAATAGCAATACCTAGAGGATCAGCATTCTTAACGCTGGCTCCCCAAGCTCCAGTTCCCACAGAGCAACATGACAACTGCATACTCAATGCGTTATGTTACAGGAGAGGAACCTGAGCTTAAGGAACCCAAATCTTTTGTAATGGGCAGTAAGCACGCCCACTCTTTGCTGCAGAGGGAGATGCTGTCTTGTTTTCCAAGGCTGTTCCTGTACAAAAACAAAAAAACCAGACTCCTTGCCGACAAGTCAGTTCTGACTCAGTGACCCTATAGGACAGAGTAGAAGTGAACCATAGGGTTTCCAAGGCTGTAAATCTTTACAGAAGCAGGCTGCCATATCTTTCTCCCATGGAGCAGCTGGTGGGTTTGAACTGTTGACCTTTCGGTTAGCAGCTGAGCACCTAACCACCACAACACCAGTAGTCTGAACAAAGGGCAGTAAACGCTTTGCTTGTAAGAGACCCATGCGTAATTGCTTCCCAACAGTCCCATTAACAGAGATCATTTTAATTCAGCTGTACAAGTTTCATTGCCTACAGTAAAAATATTCTATTTAACATTCTTTCTGGAAGAAATTTCCATACCAAGAACTTTGGTTTTAACATTACATGGATGAAGAACTTTGTGTTTAATAACTTAGGAAGAACCTGTGACTATCCCAGAAAGCTTCTTCCCCCTTTTTAGTGTCAATAACAAAAGGCAGATCCTGTAGAAATATAAATAACCCTTTTTCACCACCTGTCGGTCACTTTGTTTGTTGTGATCCTGAGGTTGTGGAATATGCTTGTTCCCCAGAGTAGCCATTGTTTTGTGTTCATCACACCTTGTAAGTCAAGAAAAGGATGATGATGGTAGTGGTGGTGATGATGGTGGTGTTTACTTGGACCCCCAATTAATCATCAGAATATTTCTTGATTAATGTGAAATTAGAGAAAAGGAGGGAGGGGTTTTGAGTGATATTTCCTGTAGGCCGTGATGAGACCTGATCACGCCGTCCTTCCCCACGCATGCACAGCATATCTTTCTAGTGGCTTCAGTTGTTTGTGGCCCATGGGTGGGTCTCTGCTGGACAGCACTGGGTACCCACTGTAGTGTAGGCTGGCCTGCCTTGTTTGTCTTTTTCTTTTAGATGTGAGAGTATCACTGATGAAGTTAGTCAAGGCCACCTGTCTCATTAATTGTTGATTGGTTTACCTCTCAGAGGACAGCTGTCTGTTCACTGCCCCCACATAGTTAGATAAAGGTGGCAGTCTTAGTGGGAACGTTGGATTTCCACAGGCCTTGGGTGTGCTGGAGTCAGCAGCTTTGGGCCAGATGCTCTATCTGGGGGTTCTTGCAGCCCTGGGGGAGGTGTGAGTGAACTTTCCAGTTCAAGCTAGGGCTCTGGTCTTGGTACTCACTGCTTGTTTCCTTGTTGAAATGAGATAAAGGATATGTAGACCTAAACATAAAGAGGAGGAAGATGAGTTGAGTTACATAACTTGGAGGGGAAGAATTACGTTTTAAAGTGAAATGTCTGCACAAGCCCCTTTTAGAGGGCAAGGGAATAGTGTATTGTTTTTCTTTGTGTCTCCAGGACCTAAAGTATTCCGAGTAAAACCAGTTGCCATCGAGTTGATCCTGACTCATGGTGACCCCGTGTGTGTCTTAGTGGAACTATACTCCATGGGGTTTTCAGTGGCTGAGTTTTCAGAAGTAGATTGCCAGGTGTTTCTTCTGAGGCATCAACCGGGTGACTCCAACCTTTTGGTTAGCAGCCAAATGTGTTTACTGTGTGTACCCCCCAGGGTATGCCTAATTCAGAGTAGATCTCACTAATAGTTTGATTTAAACTTTTCTTCCTATAAAGGTAAATCCAACACTCACATATTCATTCTAACCCCATCATAGGTTCTAGGAAGCCTCCATGGATAAAAATCCTCTTTAGAATAATGCAGGGCCCCTTCCATGGGCCTAAATCCTTTGGACTGGACATTTGTCCAGAGCTGGCTGCC